TTTGATTTTTGGTTTTGGAGTGGTGTGAGTGTGGGGAGAAGATGAACAGTGTTTCTTCTGCTTTTTTAACTTAAGTTTTTTGTTTTAGTTATTTTATATGTAAAATGTAAAATTACCTTTTTAACCTTTTAAAATTAGTCAATATTTGGTTAAACTTTTGATTTTTTGTCAACTAACGGTCAAACTAATAGTTTTTATCCACTTGTACTTCAACTGCGACATTTTGAAAGATTTGGTACCGCGGATGGAACAAAGGAAAGGTTTGGGCAAAATCTGCAACTTAATGAAATGGTTTTTACCTCGACTGCAATTTTCCTTTTTTTTTGAGGAAATTACACGTAACCCTATTTTTTAAAACGTAAATTCAAAAATCAGATATGTTTTTTATTTTTTCAAAAATCAGATATTTTATATATAAATACAAGTTTTTAATATTTAATTAAATATTAATAATAATATTATAAAAATTAATTTATATACTCCCACCCCCACCCTAACCCTACCCTACTCTACCCCACATTTAAATCCCTAATTTCTCAGCATAATCTCTATTTCTCGTCCTCTCTCTCTCTCTCTCTCTCTCTCTCTCTCTCTCTCTCTCTCTCGCGACGAACGGCATCTCTCTTCTCTCTGTCTTCACGTCGGCGACGTCGCTGCAGATCTCTGATCCGAATCTCTAATAGCACCGCTGGTCATCTCGTCACCACCGGAAGAGAATCTCCGGCACAGATCTGAAGAAGATTTATACAAATTTGAAGAAGCGGAAATCTCCTCGTTACTCATAACTTTGGTGTACTGTTAGAATCGATTTATCTCTTCGTTATTCATAACTTTGGTGTACTGTGAAGAATATCGGAGAAGAAGTGACTGGGTCTAGCTTGACAATGGAAATAGTCGCCGCTGCAAAACAGTACATCGAAAATCATAGAAAGGAGAGGTATAACTGCAGGAATCATAGAAAATTAGAAACACGTACACACATTTATTTATATATAAAATGAGTTACAAATGTAGGGTGGAAGAAGAGCACTACATTAATTATTGCGATTCGTGAATTTGATTTATGGTATAGAAGATCAAGCACGTGCTTTGATTTTTGGAATTTTTTTGTAGAGGTTCTTGAATTTTTTTATTTCGACGGCGACGCTTATGGTGATTTGCGGCTTTATTGGCGACGTTAGGGATAGTGGTTGTGGTGATGGATTTGCTTCGTCGGATATTTGGCGGTGCTCCGATTTGCTCTTACCATTTAAATTTAAACTGTGACCATTAACAAGAAATTCGTGCCGCGTGCAAAAAACCCTATTACCTGTGTTGTGACCATTTGAAATTAACCAGTGAATATAAAGAAAAAAACACTGAGCCATGTGCAAAATATTCTGTGACTTTTGTTGTGGCCATTTGAAATAAACTTGTGATTATTAACAAAAACCTGAGTCATGTGCAAAATATTTTGTGACTTGTGCTGTGACCATTTGAAATAAACTTTTAACCATCAACAAAAATGTAAGACATGAGCTTTTTCATATTATCAATTATTATAAACGAACAATCATGTGTTGTGACTTGTGACCTGAGCTGTGACCTGCGTTGTAACCTGTGACTTGAGCTGTGACCGGGACTGTGACTTGGGCTGTGACCGTACAAAAAAATCATGTCATTGGAATAGTCGTCGGAATTGAAGTGGTCGTCGGAGAAGTCGCCGGAATCGGAGTAGTCACCGAAATGGTCGCCGGAGCTGTAGGGGTGGTGGAGGCGGGGGTGGGTTATATATATAT